TGGACTCTAGCTGTCCTCATATTATTGAGCTTCTGGCAGACCATCCTCTCGTCTTGGTCTCAACAGAGAATGATTTGTTTGCTAAGCCAGAAAAGTGCTTCTTTGAACAAGATCATATTGAGTACTTGGGAATGATTATCTCAAAAGGCAAAGTGCAAATGGACAGTGTGAAAGTCAAAGCAGTATTAGATTGGCCAATCCCCAGGAAAGTGAAGGATGTACAAGCCTTCCCAGGGTTCACCAACTTCTACAGACAATTTATTGAGGGCTTTGCACACATATCAAAATGTTACAGCTTTGGGGGGGGGGGTTCTTTTCCTTGGTACTATTTGTTGTTGACCCTGTACTATCATTACTGATCCCATCACTTGGTGCATTTCACCTGCATCATTGTTTTATATATATTGTGTTTCACCTCTATCATGTTTCACCTACATCATGTTTCACTTGTATCACGTTTCATCTTCATCACTGATACAACCCAGTGAAAACTGTTCTGTCTGTCACTGATCCAACTCAGTGTTTCATACTTATTAAACTCTATTTGCCTTACCCTATTTAAGTAGCACTGGTTAGCTACTGTACTTTAGTTTTGTCCTCTTGTTCCCTATGTACACTTCATAGGGACGTCTTCAGTAATAGACTCAGTTGTCTATTCCAGTCTCAGTCTGAAGCCTTGCTTCAACTAGTATACTTTCTCAAACCGCTATCAGTTATAGCAGCTCAGTTTACAAGTCTAGTACAAGTGTAACACATCAACTTTATGTGTACAAGTCTTAGTATAAGTCTTAAGTCAAACTCCTGATCCTCAGTCATTATGTCCCTCAATATTAGGACAAAACTCTCCTAGGATCACTAGTTCCTAGTTGCAACAAGTCACAGTGGCTACAATAGCAGGACAACCAGCAGTAACCAGGTCCCAAGCAAAGCAGCTCCTCTGCTTCAATAAGATCCACACATACAACAGGAACAAAAGGACTGATCAGTGGTTGAACGGATCCTTTTGGCAGTATTGCTCAGATTCAATGTGTCTGAATAGGAAAAGAGATGAGACTCTTCCTAATTCAACAGCAAATCTCATTCCTATCAGAAGTAAGGATGACCTTCATTCAGTAGTACCCCCACTAGTGGAAAACCCCTCTTCTACACCATCATACCTCACCCTCACTGTGGTGTCATCCAGCAGAAGCATAGTAGTCCCTACACCTCATACTTCACCACTCCAGTTAGCCACCAAACCTCTACCAGCTGAATTGGCAAGCAGCAGTCCCACAGTCAGGCCCAGTTTCCTTTCAGGAATCTTCAATTCTCCCAAATTAATCAACCCACCAGTTCCCACAGAACAATACCCAGTCCCCGTTCAAACAGAACCCAAACCAGAATTACCCAGATCTCCAGTCAATCTTGATCTAGAAGAGGATCCAGCCAATAGACATCCAAACAACCCAGATGACAGCAAGCCCAAACCCAGTGATCAAGAAGATGAAGATGACATGGCAGATAACAACAATGGAGCAGTCAACAAGCCCAACCAATTTGAAGGAGATAAGGGAAAGAGCAAAGAATTCTTGAATGAATTATACATGTACTTGTTAAGGGACCTGACAACTGAGGATCAGGAGTTCAACTGTTAACTGGTACTGGGACTTATACACGCTATTGTCCTACACTGATACTAGACTTTGTAAACCAAGCTGCTATAACTGATAGCGGTTTGAGGGTGTATACTGGTTGAAGCAGAACTTCAGACTAAGACTGAGACTTGAATAGACAACTGAGTCTATTGCTGAGGACACTGTCCCTATGAAGTGTACATAGGGAACAAGAGGACAAAACTAAAGTACAGTGGCGCAACCAGTGCTACTTAAATAGAGTAAGGCGAATAGAGTTTAATATGTATGAAACACTGAGTTGGATCAGTGATGTTCATGAAGCAGTTTCACCAGTGATGGGGATGAAACATGATAGAGGTGAGATGTTATGTAGGTGAAATGTGATAGATATGAAACACTGATGTAGGTGAAACACATCAAGTGATGGGATCAGTTGTATAGTACAGGGTCAACAACAAATAGTTAGGAAAAGAAAAGAAACCCCCCTCTATAGCTGTAACAGTACTTCTTAGGGAATCCCAAGAAGATCCAATCTGACAAAGACAGAGTCCAATGTGCATTATCCTATATCAAAGGACCAGCTCAATCATCCACACAATCATCACCAATGCAGAAGAACCTATCTCTGACTCTGAAGATGCACCACTAAAAGGACTTCCTACCTGGGCAGAATTTAAGAAATCTTTCATCCAGACCTTTGGATTAGAGGACAATACACAGGCAGCACTGAATGAAATCAGCAAATGCACTTGGACAAAGTGTAGTGGAAATGGACTTTGATTTGTCACCACCCTTCAACCTTTGTTACAAGCCAGTGGATTAAATGAATTAGGAAATATTTGGGAAATCCAACATCTTGTTCCTCCTGCTCTCCTAATCAAGATTGCCGTGCAACCCCCATTGCTGACCACAGCTGTAGGGTACCTCAACAGTATTCAGTCCATCTGTCAATCTATGATTGATATCTTTGGTGATAAACCCCTATTTATGCCTTCATCTGGACATTCCTTTGGTCACAACAAATTTGTACATTGCAACCGTGCAATTGAAACTAGGGATGGGTCTTCAAAGGAAGCATCATCTAATGATCAGTGGATCAGACATCTGTCAGATAAAGATCACTGAGAATATATGGAGAAGAAGCTATACTTCAGATATCACAAACTCGGACATCAGAGTTGTCAATGCCCAAACAATCACATCAGAGCGATCAAATCTCACGATACATCCACTCAGGAGAAGGACAAAACCAAGGACTCCTCCAATGAGGAAGGGATAGCTGAAGAATATATTTAAGCTATTTCCTCTGAGAAGGATTTTTGAAGTCTTCAATCACTGTGATGTTGAGTCAAAGTAATGGCACTAGGAAATATTTATATCAGGCAAGATTAGCTCATAAATCTATTTATTTGCCCTGCATATTGAAAACCTATGCCAAAACTGTCACAACTGAGGCACTGCTCAACACAGGAGCAGTGGAGAATTATATTGACATCCAGTTTACTCAAGATCATAGCCTCCAACACCAGAGCATCACACCCATACCAGTGTTTAATGTCAACACCTCACCAAATAAAGCCACAGCCATCAAACACAAAGTCTTCTTCACTATATCCTTATCCAGGCAGCCAATGAAGATAAAAGCCTATGTAACAGTACTGGATAAGAACCCAATCATCCTAGGTCTCTCATGGTTCAAACACTTCAATCCAGTAATCAATTGGATCACTGGACA